CTTAAAAATTTGACCTCAGGTCAAGGTCATGACCTGACCGGAAATGGTCATGTTGCATATCAGTCGATCCGTATCGTCGAGCTGAACACATCCAAGGCGTTTTCATCGCTCTAGCATGCCTTTATCAAAAGTTATTTGCGAAAAACTGTTAGATACCATCCGTGACCTGAGATGACCTCAAGGGTATAAACAGGGGTCACGGATACCATTTCCATGTTTAGTGTGTCTTAGTTACTTGTTATTCAGTGATTTGGAGTGTTTGTAAATTATAATGGCTTTCGTCCAAAAAAAGCGCCTTTCAATTTTCTCCCATTGACTTATAATGGGGAGGTCGCAAAATTGACCTGACCTTAGGTCATCGATATCAAAATTCTGAGATATTCATGTTGTACATACTATTGCTCTTAGCAATCGCTGAAAGTTTTAAAGCGATCGGTCACTCGGTGTAGTTATGGCAGACATTGAAACTTTTTATGAGGTGGGGTCACTTCAAGTGACCTGGTGACCTGACCTTAAATGACCTTGGTCTGAAATTTTTACAACATATGTAGAATTTATGCATGAAAAGGTGTGCCAAAAACGGCGGCGCTGCGCGCCGCCGTTTTTGAGATATTTGCGAAAAACCACAGGGGGGATGTTCAAACACCCCCCCCCCCAGCAGGGCGCGGGTTAAAGGGACACTCCCACCTTAACCCTCGCCGGACCTATTGGTTTTCTACATACGTGCCGGCCGAGGGGGGGGGCGGGTACGACCCCCCCCCCTCGCCGTTTCGCCCCTGGTGGAGCTAGCGCGTCGCGGAAAAAACGAGCGTGTGCGCCGTTACGAGACGCAGAGATTGGTACCCGATTTCAAGGTCCTAGGTCAACCGGTGACCTCTGAGGTCTGGTCAAGTGCCCCAGGGTACGGTTCAGTTTTTGGTGAATAGCTTCGCAAAAAACGACCGCAGAGCCGCGAATTTGGCAGCATCGTGTTCGCCTCGCTCAGGCGCGTCGAACGATACACTTTTTGTCCGGGTCAGGTCAACTTTGGGTGTTGACCTCAGGTCAAGGTCAGGTCAGCACCCCCAGGTCACGAAGTTGGTCGAAAGAGGTCATGTCGCATATCATTCGATTCGGAAGGCCTTCCTGAGTCCATTGGTGGCTTTCTCGACTCGCTAGCTCAATTTGATCAAGAGTTATTGACGAAAAACTAATATGACCTTAATGACGTCATAAATGACGTCACGCAAGGTCAACATTGCAAAAGTGACGCATCTAACCTTGCAAGGAGTGCATCAAATCACGATTCTGTGTGCTTGAGATAGTTGGAGATCGTTCCCGGCGCCAAAATAGCAGTTTTCATATTTCCCCATTGACTTATAATGGTGAGGTCACGAAAATGACCTGACCTCATATGACCTTTAGGAAAAATCCGAGATATAGAAGTTGTGAGACTCATCATGGATACTAGATCCTGCAAGTTTCATTTCCCTGTGACATCTCCTCTGGCAGTGAGGGCGTTGCGAAGTTGCGACATCTGAAGACCGTGCAGAGGTTCACTTATGACGTCATAGGTCAGTGACCTGACCTGACCCAAAAATGCGGTTGGTGTCAAAAGATGCGGCTTAGATCAAAGGTCAGGTATGCCAAGTTTCAGCTCTCTATCGCCAGCGTGTTCGGAGCTATCTCGAAAAAAACCCTATGGGGGGGGGGCGGCACCGGCCCCCCCCCCCTCGGCCGGCGAGGGTTAACATTAGTTTTGAGTTGAGATAGATTGGTGGTCATGGCCTGCAAATACCGGTTTGGGCACTCACAAGTCACAACATCGAAAAATGCTTTAATTCGAAGATATGGAATTTCAAACTTGCAGTTTTCGGATTCTAAGGGGCTAATGCATTGGAATGCCCTCTTAGAATTTGTGACGTCAGCGGAGATCTAACGATTTTTAAATCTTAGACTAAAACCATCGTTAACACGTGGTGGTATACGCTGCTTTGCGCGCAACGTCTGCCGCACTTTAACCCGCGCCCTGCTGGGGGGGGGGTGTTTGAACACCCCCCCCTGTGGTTTTTCGCGAATATCTCAAAAACGGCGGCGCGGAGCGCCGCCGTTTTTGGTACACCTTATCATACATCAATTCTACACATGTTGTGAAAATTTCAGACCAAGGTCATTCAAGGTCAGGTCACCAGGTCACTCGAAGTGACCTCACCTCATAAAAAGTTTCAATGTCTGTCATAGCTACACCGAGTGACCGATCGCTTTGAAACTGTCAGCGATTGCTAAGAGCATTAGCATGTACAAAATGTATATCTCAGAATTTTGATATCGATGACCTAAGGTCAGGTCAATTTTGCGACCTCACCATTATAAGTCAATGGGAGAAAATTGAAATGCGCCTGTTTTGGACGAAAGACATTATAAACACTCCCAAACACTGAATTACAAGTGGTTTAGACACAATGAACATGAAAATGGTGTCTGTGACCCCTGTTTATGCCCTGAGGTCATCTTAGGTCACGAATGGTATCTAACAGTTTTTCGCAAATAACTTTTGATAGAGGCATGCTAGAGCGATGAAAACGCCTTAGATGTGTTCAGCTCGACGATACGGATCGACTGATATGCAACATGACCCTTTCCGGTCAGGTCATGACCTTGACCTGAGGTCAAATTTTCAAGTTGACCTTTCAAGGTCAAATTATAGTTCGTTCGATGCGTCTTGACGAGAGGAACACGATGCCGGTAAAAGTAAGCTCGTACAATGCTTGGGTCAAAAGTTATTGCAGAAAAACTGTTTCCGAAAAAATCGGCTATTTTTGCAGTTTTTGCCCCCTGCAGGCAAAACCGTTGACGTTAGGTCAAATCTGAGAAAATTACTCAGAAAGGGCGTTAATAGGGCTATCGAATGCGCTTTTCCGCGGCGCTGTAGCTCTATTGGTTCCCGAGTTATGCGTTGGCTTCTTGGAAATTTTCGACATTCGACCTGGAAATCGGCGAAAATTTGCCTTCAATGACCTCTGGTGACCTGACCTTTGACCTGACCAAAAAATTGACCGAAGTGATTTCCTCATTATTTTTGACGCTCTTTCGAACGCCGCCTTCCGCGTATCGCTACGTGGCCCAGGAGCCGAGTTAGAAGGGGGGGGGTGTTCAAACACCCCCCCCCCCAGCAGGGCGTGGAAATCCAGGACCCCCAGCAGGGCGCGGGTTAAGGCTGCCAAATTATTGCTTCCAAATAAAGTCGCTTGTAACAGGGGAGATCCCAAAAAGTAAACAAAAGTAAAAGCCTAATATCTTGAAAACCAGTGAATATTTTTCGGTGAAATTTGGTAGATATTCGTTTTCGCTTTTTCTGAACCAAGGGACATCACTTTCATGCCAATTCATTAACTTTTTTGAAGGTGGAAGGGTCCCTTTAACCCGCGCAACGACGGGGGTCTGCGCCAACTTCGTACCGACGGGGGTGGGGCGGATGACCGCCCCCCCCCCTGAGATCTCGAGAACGAAGCCAGATAGCGACAAGCGGTAAACGGCATGGGATACGCACGGACAAGGTCTACAATTTTTACAAAGGTCATTTTCAGGTCAGGTCAAAGATGACGTCACAGGGGTCAAAAAAGTCAAAATGGCTGCGCTAGATATGGAGAGAGTTTTTCTCGAATAACTTTCGAACTAGTCAAGATAGGAACAATCTAAGGGCACCATCGTAATCCTCTCGTCAATCCGCATCGAATGATATATATGTCGACCTCAAAAGGTCAAGGCCAAAGGTTGACCTCAGGTCACGTGACCTCGAGGTCATCATGTATATCATTCGATGCGTCTTGACAAGCTGAACACAATGAGACCATCCGCGCGGCTGTATCTTGTTCCTGTACGGAGTTATTGGCAAAAAACCTTTGATGACCTTTGATGACGTCACATGACCTTACAGCTGCCCAACAGCAAAACAGACCTCAAAGTAGTGTCGGTTGATCGTATATGAAGTCATGTATGGTATATGGGGCCATTCCGACCCGTTTTAGTGGTAAAAACAGGGAGTTGATTTTTCCCCCATTGACTTACAATGGGGAGGTCGCGAAATTGACCTTACCTTAGGTCACCGACATCAAAATTCCGAGATATACAAATTGTAGCTACTAATGACCTCCTAATAACATCTTGCGACATTCATAGACCTCCGTCATCTACTGTAGCTCTGGCATGGTGACAAAGTTGCAAAAAAGTGACTTGATGTTGGGTCATTCAAAGTGACCTGGTGACCTGACCTTAAAAGTTAGGAGGTTCAAACTTGCACACCATGTGTAAAATTGATGAGGGAATAGTCATACTAAATTTCGCGGCGCTAAGCGCCGCGGTTTTCCCGCTATCCGCGAAAAAACCTCAGGGGGAGGCGGATATCCGCCCGCCCCCCGTCGGTGCGCCTGTTAACTTTTTTGACCCCTGTGACGTCATATTTAACCGGACCTGAAAATGACTTTAAAAAATTGTTGACTTTGCCCGTGCGTACCCCATGCCGTTTACCGCTTCACGCTATCTTGCTTTGTTCTCGAGATCTTAGGGGGGGGGGCGGTTATCCGCCCCTCCCCGTCGGTTCTCGGTTGGCGCGGACCCCCGTCGGTGCGCGGGTTAAAGTTTTGTGTATTATCGTCTTCCTCTCGTCGCGGGCATGACGCTCTTTTTTAGCGAAGCTCTAGCTCCATTACAGGACAAAAGACAAGAAGGGCTGCAACTGACCCCCCTCCCCCATACGTTAGACGCTGTCAAAACACCAATACGGCTGAGCACTGTGATGCATGTTGTTGTGCTATTAACTTTTCCGAATCGTCATGCATAGCAACTGTTGAAGGAGTAACTTTATTTTGAAATGTAAAGCCTTGATAAAAAATGGTGTAATATGTCTGAATGTCTCTCAGTATTGCATTGGGAATAGTGATCTACATAGTTTTCCCTTCAATCTAGTCGACTATCGACCGTCCACCCAGCGTGTGACTTCTGTCTGACCTGCTGTGTTCCAGACTCGCCGCAGGGTGACCGCGACGGAGAGATCGAAGACGAGGAGCAGCACTGCGATGAGGAGGAGCAGACATCAGAGGGTCCGCCTCACCCACACGGGCAGAGATGGCGGCAGATTGAACAGCAACATCAGCAGCGGTGGAAGGAGCTGGAACTACAACATCAGCAGCTATGGCAGGAACTGGAGAACTCAAGAAACGAAGAAAGAGTGAGGATGGACAAAAATCATGAAGAAGAGCGTCGGGATCTGGAGCGGGAACATGATAAGAAGTGGCAGAACCTGAGCAAATGCCACCATGAGGAGCGTATTGAGCTTTATCAGCAGCACAAGGAAGACAGCAGAAGCATGAACATGCCGACTGAGGACCAGTTAAGGCAGTTGGATCTCTCCCACCAGCAGCAGTGGGAAGATCTTCAGCAGGACCTGCAGAAGCAGTGGCAAGAGCTGGAGCAGAGACACCAGAGAGAGTCACGAGAGCTGGAAGTGAGATACCCAAACTCAGGCTCTGGAGAGGAGAAGAATCAGCTGCAGGAGGAGTGCAGCAGCAGATGTGAAGAGCTGCAGGAGGAGCAGGGTAAGGAGTTGGAGAGGCAGGAAAGGAAGGAGCTGGAGGAAGAGCTGATAGAGGAGATAAGAAATGAGCTAAGGGAGGAGGTGAAAAACGAGTCAGAGAAGGAGCTACGGAAGCAGATAAGAAAGGAGCTGAAGAAAGAACTAAAAAAGGGTCTACGGAAGCAGATAAAGAAGGAACTGAAGAAAGAGCTGCGGGTGGAGCTGCAGCAGGAGTAGAAGCATCTTGAAGAAGGTAGGTGATAGTGATGTCAATTACGGAAAATCGGAATACCGATACCAAACCAAATACCAACCAAAACCACGGGAAAATACCGAAACCAAACCAACTTAGGAAACAAAGGGAAATACCAACTTTTTACCGGTTTCTTAGCCTCTTATACATTAGTGAGGGCTTATGATACCAACAAAATACCAAACACATTACGATTGAAATACCAAATACCAAGTTGGTATCGGTTTGGTATCGGTATACCAAAAAGTTGGTATCCGATTGACGTCTCTAGTAGGTGATGGCCGTTGACCCTGGTGTCAGCTGAATTGTACCTAAATATAAGGAGCAATTCATACCATGTAATGCCCTATATAGCATCAAAACAATTGTAATGTCTGTTGTGTGGTTAGCAGTTGTATTATACATATTTGTTATCTGCGGCCCTTCTGGTCTCTAAGTACCTAGTAATTAAAACGTTTTTATTCTTTCAGGTCCGCCACCATCACCATCACCACCACCATCACCATCGCCACCAGCACCATCATCGGCCTCAGGATCAAGCCCGCCACCAGCCTCCGTGAGTTTGAACTTATCGATTGAATCTGAAAGTATAAAATTGGCTATATGTTTAGATGATTTTGTGCGTTCCCCTCCCAAACCAGATCAACAGGAGGGGGAGGGGTTCCCACCCCCCGCGCCATTTCGTTCCTTTTTTGCTGCTGAGGTAATTTCAGGTCAAGTTAGGTCAAGGTCAATGATATGTGTTCGCATGTCTGTGTGTGTCTGTGTGTGTACTGATGTGTGCACCGGGTGTTTATAATAATAATAATGCCCTTTATTTTCGTTCCATCCTTGAAACATATGTGAGCACACATCGACACTTTTTTTTAAATCTCACATCTGCTCTCCCGTGAATTTCCGGGAGGCACGAAAGATCTCCTTTTAAAAGTGTCCAATCATCCGATCCTGATCAAATATGTGTGTTCGTAGGCCTGCTCTGGTATTGCTTTATCTGCCAAGACAGACAAACTTGAGAAAAAATCGAGTGACTGTACCTTTTTTGAAGGTTTCTAACCAACTTGTCTGAAATTCACCGGAGAACAAATGTGCGGTTTTAAAAAAAGGTGTCGACATGGAACACACACCACACCACAACAGTCCCATACTTGGGACGTCAGCGCTCAACAATGCGCTTTAACCCACGCACCGACGGGGGGGGGGGGCGGATATTCGCCCCCTTGAGGTTTTTCGCCAATAGCGGGAAAACCACGGCGCGTAGCGCCGCGAAATTTGATACGACTATTCTCTCATCAATTTTACACATGGTGTGCAAGTTTGAACCTCCTAACTTTCAAGGTCAGGTCACCAGGTCACTTTGAATGACCCAACCTCAAGTCACTTTTTTGCAACTTTGTCACCGTGCCAGAGCTACAGTAGATGTCGGAGGCCTTTAAAAGTCGCAGGATGTTTTAAGATCATTAGTAGCTACAATTTGTATGTCTCGGAATTTTGATGTCGGTGACCTAAGGTCATGTCAATTTCGCGACCTCCCCATTATAAGTCAAGGGGGGAAAAATCAACTCCCTGTTTTTACCACTAAAACGGGTCGGAATGGCCCCATATACCATACATGACTTCATATACGATCAACCTTCACTACCTTGAGGTCTGTTTTGCTGTTGGGCAGCTGTAAGGTCATGTGACGTCATCAAAGGTCACCAAAGTTTTTTGCCAATAACTCCGTACAGGAACAAGATACAGCCGCGCGGATGGTCTCATTGTGTTCAGCTCGTCAAGACGCATCGAATGATATACATGATGACCTCATGGTCACGTGACCTGAGGTCAACCTTTGACCTTGACCTTTCGAGGTCAACATATATATCATTCGATGCGGATTGACGAGAGTATCACGATGATGCCCTTAGTTTGTTCCTATCTTGACTAATTCGAAAGTTATTCGAGAAAAACTCTCTCCATATCTAGCGCCGCCATTTTGACTTTTTCGACCCCTGTGACGTCATCTTTGACCTGACCTGAAATGACCTTAGTAAAAATTGTAGAACTTTTCCGTGTGTATCCGATGCCGTTTACCGCTTGTCGCTATCTTGCTTCGTTCTCGAGATCTCAGGGGGGCGGTCATCCGCCCCCCCCGTCGGTGCGAAGTTGGCGCAGTCGGTGCGCGGGTTAACTGTGACGCAAACACATTTACAAGATCAGAGCGACTCACAGAATGTGTATGTGTCCATATTACATGAAATCATGATCTGAGAAGCTTTTACCAAAAATGCAGTAAAAAAAAACTTCACGAAAATAAAATTCAGCTTGCCTAAAACGCAATTATTTTAGATGACCTAGGTTGACCTTGACCCTGACCTTGACATCTGTAAATCGTCGAACAACATGTTCCATGATAGGTGGGAGGTAAGACTGGCAAAAAAGGCCGAAATCAGGGTGTCAAAAGCTGACAAGGCCCATAGTTAACGCAAGATGTTGAGAATCGGTCATTTGGGTCATGACATGACCTGAAAAACAAGGTCATATCTCTGAAACAAAAACCACAGAAACTTGAAATTTTTAGTGGACATCAAGAAAGGATAGAGGAGAAGCTATACAAAAAATCAGGCCTCTAACTCTAACAATGTGGAGTGCAGAGCAGAAAGACTACCTGGGGGGGGGGCTGGCAACCACCCCCCCCCCCCACAGTGAGGCAAATGGGGTTCACGAGTTGCCATAAACACGAAAAAGGCCCAAAATTAAAGTTCACCTAACCTGCGCGGGGCTGGGGGGGTAAATTTTACCCACCCTCGCGAATTTTTGCAATAACTCAAAAACAGCGGGGCGCAGCGCCACCAAACCTTCAGTACCTTTTCTTACATCAATTTGACACGTTCTCTGAAAATTTGAGCGAAATCGGTCGGTAAATTTTCGAGAAATTGACGTTTTAGTGACGTCATGTTCGCCATTTTCGCCTCTAAAACGGCAAAATTTCAAACGCCGCTAACATCTTCATTTTTAAAGGAATCAAGACGTAACAAAAAGGTTATACGTAGTTCTTCTTTGTCTATCAAATGGCTATCTCGGTTTTTTGAAAATTTTGGATTTTGGCCAAAAGTTTTTCTAAAAACTGACTTTTTTGGGAAAATAATGATAAAATCCAAAATTTCAAGTGTATCGACGAAACCGGAGTATATGTCAGAGATGTGGTCTATGTGCACCTACATACCAATTTTTAAAAGAATTGGGTCAAAAATGTGGGAGTTATTAAAAATTTCATAACGTCACGACACACAATTTTTTGAAAAAAAAAATGATTTTTTTTAGTTCTAGACCTCGTACGGAAACAAAAATATCACCATTCGATTCGCCATGAAAAACTGCATCAGAGAGACACCTTTTTAGGCCTTAACAACCAACTTCAAAATTTGACCTCACTTGACCTGACTTTGACCTGACCTCGACCTGAAATTCATCCAGATGTGGTCCATATCACCTATTGAAAGTGCCTATTGAATTCTATGAATAAAATGACCCATAAAACATGTGTCGCACATGACCTTTTCTATATTTTGTTTTTGGTGACCTGACCTGACCTGACCTGACCTTGAACTTAACCTCTGAATGATATTATACGCAGCGAATATTGTCTTGGTAGCCTAAGAACACGTTTTGGGCAATCAGTCTCAGTCCGTTCTTCGGCAACTACGGTGCAACGCCGATACTGTAGAAACTTGCAATTTGTACCCTTGACCTGACCTTGACCTTGACCTCAAGGCTCACACTTTAAATTAAGTACATGTTTTTAGTTGTTCGTGATGAGATCTTTCGATTGGCGTTTGAATTTTCCAAATAGGACAATTAGTTCGGGATATAATGGGGGGGGGGGTAAAATTTACCCACCCCCAGCCCCGCGCGTTCGGCTGGAGACCCCAGCCCCGCGCGGGTTAATCGAATAAATCGTAATTTGGTCAGTCAGGCAAATGTTTGGGGTGTCTCGAAAAAGTGTGATTTTAATGTTTTTGTCAAAACCGGCCTCGTGTATGATTGTCAGAAGTCGAGACATTTTCGATGTCGTAAAATGACTGTCAGGTACTTGAAATTCAAGTGCCGCTAGCGTGCGTTCATGTCATACAAACTGCAAAAATTATACATGAAAATGATCCCCGAAACCTGCTGCTTCTAATGCCACGTCATAAAAAGCCGCATCTATTTTGGTTTGGCGGTGAGCTAGCTATTTGTAATCATGTTGCAACCGCAGTTTTTTACCAAAAATATTTGCTTTCAATTCACCTACAGCACTTCACACAGTGTTCCCGTTAGTGCACCATATCATAGCATTCCCTAATCATTTCTGAGTCGCATAGTGAAAGAATTAAGGCGCTAGCACAGGGCTGACCGGCGCTACAGAAGTTTTCGTCCGGCACGGTCGGGTGCCGAGGCGCAGCGGGCGGCCCGGGCGGCCGCGCGCCGCCGCGCCGCCCCGACGCCGCGCGGCGGCACCCACCCGCCCACTGCGGCGCACGACCGCCCGGACAAAAACTTCTGTAGCGCCGGTCAGCCCTGTGCTAGCACCTTAATTCTTTCACGATGCGACTCAGAAATGATTAGGGAAGGCTATGGTATGGTGAACTAACGGGCACACACTGTGTTAAGTGCTGTAGGTGAAACGAAAGCATTTTTTTCTTAGTAAAAAAACTGCGATTGCAACATGATGATAAATAGTCAGATTACCGCCAAAGCGAATGCGATACGGCTTTTTGTGACCCGGCAATAGAAGCAGAAGGCTTTGGGGATCATTCCCATGCATAATTTTTTCAATTTGTACGAAATGAACGCAAACCAGCGGCGTTTGAACTTGCGAGTGTCTGACCGTCATTTTACGACCTAGAAAATGTCACGACTTCTGACGATTATACACGAGGCCGGCTTTGACAAAAACATGAAAACCATGTGATTTCAGATGCCCCAAACATTTGTCTACTCGGCCATATCGCAATTAAATCGATTTGGTAAACTTGACTTTTGGGTATTTATGGCCACTCGTGAACCCCATTTGCATGACTGTGCCCCCCATGTTTGGGCGAGGTTTCAAATAGTTGGGAGGAGCAGAGACTAGCAGATTTTGCCAATCTGGGGGAAAGTGGGGTAGGACGGGCACCTTAACTCGGCCGGGCCCGGGGGTAATCCCAACCACCGCAGCCCGGGGGGCGGTTTTCGCCCCCCCCCCTGTCTAACTCCGTAAATAAGGGAGGTACGGAAACAAAAGCGATACCAAACGAAAGATCCTTACGAAACGATTCTAAAGCACCTAAAGTTTTTGACCTCAGGTCAATTTTCAAGGTCAGAGGTCAAGGTCAAAGGCAAAAACCGGCATATGTGTAGTGATCTCGAAGTAAGCCTTCTAGAGGACGGCAGGCTGCATCAAACCGGCAAAATTGGGTGTCAAACGAAAGAAGAGCATCTAAGGATTCCGAAAATGTGCTCCAAATCAAAGGTAAAGGTCAAGGTCGCGCTCAAAATTGACCTCAAACCTGGCTCTTTTTAGCACATCTTGCGTGCTAGTTTCCAAGATGTTTTGAAATGTTTTGAGGCTTATCAGTTCCCAAATGTGGTTCATCTTACGATACAAGGCTGCTCAAAGGTCAAGGTCACAGAAGAGTATCCCTGCTAGAGGCTATTTCACTGATTCAAGTTAGCAATAATAAATAAGACAATTTTGTCATCCCGAAGCTCTAAATGAAGACTTAGAGGAAAATGGATGCCAGATTCGTGATCAGCAGGTACAAATCTATCATAAACGACCTTTCATGTGTCAAGATCAACCAGAGGTCATTCGAGGTCACTTGAGGTCAACATAAAACTTGACCTTTTCCGAACAAAATATATATCATTCGAAGCGGCTTGACAAGGCAAATGCGATGGTACCACTGCCGTAGCTCTAGGACCATTTTTGTTGAAGTTATTTGCGAAAAACTTAACCCGCGCACCGACGGGGGTCTGCGCCAACTTAGTACCGACGGGGGGGGGGGCGGATGACCGCCCCCCCCTGAGATCTCGAGAACGAAGCAAGATAGCGACAAGCGGTAAACGGCATCGGATATGCACGGACAAGGTCTACAATTTTTACTAAGGTCATTTTCAGGTCAGGTCAAAGATGACGTCACAGGGGTCGAAAAAGTCAAAATGGCGGCGCTAAATATGGAGAGGGTTTTTCTCGAATAACTTTCGAAGTAGTCAAGATAGGAACAAACTAAGGGCATCATCGTGATTCTCTCGTCAATCCGCATCGAATGATATATATGTTGACCTCGAAAGGTCAAGGTCAAAGGTTGACCTCAGGTCACGTGACCTCGAGGTCATCATGTATATCATTCGATGCGTCTTGACGAGCTGAACACAATGAGACCATCCGCGCGGCTGTATCTTGTTCCTGTAAGGAGTTATTGGCAAAAAACCTTTGGTGACCTTTGATGACGTCACATGACCTTACAGCTGCCCAACAGCAAAACAGACCTCAAGGTAGTGAAGGTTGATCGTATGTGAAGTCATGTATGGTATATGGGGCCATTCCGACCCGTTTTAGTGGTAAAAACAGGGAGTTGATTTTTCCCCCATTGACTTATAATGGGGAGGTCGCGAAATTGACCTGACCTTAGGTCACCGACATCAAAATTCCGAGATATACAAATTGTAGCTACCAATGACCTAATAACATCCTGCGACTTTCAAAGGCTTCCGACATCTACTGTAGCTCTGGCACGGTGACAAAGTTGCAAAAAAGTGACTTGAGGTTGGGTCATTCAAAGTGACCTGGTGACCTGACCTTAAAAGTTAGGAGGTTCAAACTTGCACACCATGTGTAAAATTGATGAGAGAATAGTCATACCAAATTTCGCGGCGCTACGCGCCGCGGTTTTCCCGCTATCCGCGAAAAACCTCAGGGGGGGGGGGCGGATATCCGCCCCCCCCCCGTCGGTGCGCGGGTTAAACCACATTTCGGGATCGTTGACCTGACCTCTGACCTCAGGTCACTAAAACTATTTCTCTATTTTTCTCTAGGTCTAACGCTACATAACTGTGCCCGTAATTTGTCTTTATCTCTAAAACTCTATTTTTAGCAGCTATTTGAAGTTTGCGTCTGTGACGCAGAAGTTTGCCGTGCAGGGGTCTAGAAAAATGGTCCTTGTGACGTCATCAAGGGGGCTAGGTCCATTTTTTTTTACTTCAGAAGATGTCAAATTGATGGGAGAAAAGGTACTAAAAGTTTCACTTTCCTATCCCTAAGCGTTCGGGAGCTATCGCAAATATTCGGCAGGGGAAGCGAAAAACGCCCCCCCGGGCCTGCGAGTGTTAACTTTGAAGCCATTTTTCGGCCGGTTAGAAACATCATAGAAATGGAAAACTGAGTGAAAACCTTTTTTTAGACATTTTACCTCCATTTGCCAGAAGATGAGGCTTATGTGGAAGCACGCCCTCGTCACACCAATCCCAAAGGGAAAGGTTTCCGCCGAACCGTCCGACACACGACCTATTTCTCTGCTTCCGGCGATAATGAAAGTAGTGGAGCGCATAGTCCAGATGCAGTTATCTGGTTATCTAGAGCAAAACGCACTCCTCGCTGACGCGCAGCATGGCTATAGGAAACACCGTTCGACAGAAACAGCGCTCCATGTCATAACGGACAAAATTTTGCAGGCCATGGACAACAGTGAAGTATCCATTCTTGTCTTGTTAGATCTCTCAAAATGCTTTGATGTAGTGCCTCACCTCAAATTGCTAGAAAAGCTCTCACTCTACGCGATCGACACTGTCTGGTTCCGTAGTTATTTGTCAAATCATACCCAGCAGGTTCGTGTGCGTTCTCCGGAGGGACGGGACAAGCTTTCGAAATCGAGGTTTAATGACATCGGCGTCTTTCAAGGTGGAGCGCTCAGCTGCATTTTGTATATGTTGTTCGCGAACGACTTGAGCCTTTGCGTGCCCGATGATGTCACCATCGTCCAGTATGCTGACGACACGCAGTTGTTGGTAAGCGGAAAGAAGAGTGACATTTATCGCTTGGTGACCAGTATGGAACACGCCCTGCACAACGTATATCAATGGTTTTGCCATAACGGCATGAAGCTGAACGCCAAAAAGACGCAGATGCTTGTACTTGGAACGCCCGCGATGCTCCGCACTCTGCCGCTTGTGACACTCCGTTTCTGCGGCACTGTCATCGCCGATTCCGGAGTGGTAAAGAACCTTGGTGTTTATCTCGACCGGCACTTGAACTTTGAGGCGCACGTGGACAATACCGTGAGAAAATGTA